TCCTGGACTAGATGTGCCTCTCCTGGACTATCCCAGGAGAGCTTTGGATCTGCCTGTCCTGGACTATCCCAGGAGAGCTTTGGATCTGCCTGTCCTGGACTATCCCAGGAGAGCTTTGGATCTGCCTGTCCTGGACTATCCCAGGAGAGCTTTGGATCTGCCTCTCCTGGACTGTCCCAGGAGAGCTTTGGATCTGCCTCTCCTGGACTGTCCCAGGAGAGCTTAAAAGGTCTTACAAACTGAAGCCTTACAGCAAAATGTTCCTTTTCCAGTTGCCCTTCACAGAGCTCTAAAAATGGACACAGCAAACACCTGTGACCTGAAAATCCATTGGTTACTGGGATTTCCATGGTTTTGGAGCCATGGAATGGTTTGGGTTGGAAGGGACCTTAAAGCTCATCTCATCCCACCCCCTGCCATGGGCAGGGACACTTCCATAGCCCAGGTTGCTCCAAGCCCTGTCCAACCTGGCCTTGGACACTTCCAGGGATGGGTTGTGTCCCTCTGAAGGATGAGTGCAGCCCTCCTTGCCTTGGCCTGGGCTCCCATGGATGTGGGATCTTCCCTTCCCTGCCTTTTCTGCCTCCTCCTCCTCCCAGCTTTTCCGTGGTTCCCATCTCACTGAGAGGTTCCCTCTGTGTTTGGGCTCCATCCTCTCAGGTTCTTTAGCAACAGTGCTGAATTCCTGAGGAATTCCATTTGCTTTCTAGTAAATCCCATAAACACCACGGTCCCAAAAATGTGATTTATGGCAGCACTTTGGAACTAAGGGGCTGAAATATCGACACCTTTCTAATTAACACTGAATTCAAGTGACCTTTTCCAGAGAGGGACCTCAGGCTGCTGCTTTTCCAGGCTTGGAACAATCAATGTGTCCTCAGGATGACCAGAACAAGTGCCTAAGAAAGGGGGATGTGCTGCAACTTCCTTGCAGGGAAGGTTTTTATGGATGAAATGTAACCCCTTGGGCGTTTCTAGGCTAAAACCTTCTACCCCACTGGGTTGGATTTGCTTTCCATGGGTGTTCCACCCTCTCCCAAAGCACTTCCTGACAACTATCTCCTGGTTTGTTCATTTAAATCTCTCCCTTGCTGGAGCAGGTGGGGTTTTTTCCACTTCCCTGTTGCTTTCCAGACACAAATTCCTTGTCAGAGCTGCTCCCTCTGCTCCTCAGCCAGGCCGGCATTCCATAATTCCCAGGTCCCTGGGATTCCATAATTCTCTGGTAGAACACCGTGATTCCATGTCTGAGCATCCCTGCCTCTTCCCTGTGGTGCCAGGGTTGATTTCCATGGCAATCAACCATGCAGAGCACTGGGAATATTCCTGGAATCCCAGTGCTTTGCTCTCTCTGGAGCTCTCAGTTAATGCCTTCAGCCTTTTCTGCCTTTATAAACCTGATATGTCTGACTGGGAATCATGGAATTGGAAAGGTTGGAAAATCCCAGCCCCATCCACCATGTTCACCACTAAATCCTGTCCCCAAAGTGCCACATCCACATGTTTTGGGAACAGTCCCTCCAGGGATGGGACTGCCCTGGGCGGCCCCTTCCAGTGCCTGACCAGCCTTTCCATGAAGGAATTTTCCCTGATATCCAACCTGACCCTCCCCTGACACAACTTGAGGCCGTTTGCTCTTGTGCTGTCCCTTGTTCCCTGGGAGGAGAGACCAACACCCACCTCCCCACAACCTAAAGCAAAGAATTCCACAAGCAGAGTGTCCTTACCCAGGGTC